TTGAGTTGCTTTTGGCTAGTTTTGAGCCGTTTGGAGGTCGCTACGCGCATAATGGCATTTTTGGAGCATTGTTGGCTTGCTCCGTATTGGAATCCGCTTGTTTAAGGTAAGTAACTCTTCTAAACTTAGTGCTGAAGGTATGAAACCCCCGAATACGTGTTATATACATGCTAGGTGACGGGTTTGGAGGCATGCACCATGTGAATTGTGACTGTTGTTTTCATGGCACAGTATAGTGGCCCTATTTTGTTGATATCCGTGTTTTTACCATCTGATTAAGTAATTGAGGTATCAATCATGCTAGATATTATGTTTAGTCTTTATGCCGATACCATTGGGACCCATAGTGGTCATTTCTTGTTGTCATCTCACTGATTTTACTAATATTTCGTACCTAGTCATATTCATGCATCCATATCATATCTTAGTATTAGTTGTTATTTATTGATACGTTATATCATTCTAGTTGGGCTAGTTTCATGCATTGTGAGCCCGTGAGTGAGACTGGAAAGATTGATTATTGAGTGAGGCTGAGAGACTGATTATGAGTGACAGTTATGGGATTGGGCTGCATGTTGCAGTGTTTATACTGATCTTATGATAGCGCTTGGGGTGTCGGAGCCCCTCCGGAGTTTGTACACCCCCTAGTGAGCGTAATTGATTATATTGAGGGATAGATCTTCCCTGAACATTGATCTTGTCTGAAGTAGTATATACCTGGAGATGGATCTTCTCCACGGGTTGGATTGGCCCTACTCAGCACTGAGTGATTGTTGGTCAGTTTATGTATATATTCCGGGATGGATCTTTCCTGGGCCGGATTGGCCATACACGGTGCTGAGTGATTGGGCATAATGAGCAGAAAGTGTGAGACAGTGAGAACAAGTCCTCTGAGAGTGCGAGTACATGATTTATCTTTGAGATACATGGAATTGACATGCACACATGACATACCTGCATAGAGATGTATTTTTTCTCATGTTGTACAGTATCACATCATTCATGACTTCTCGTACATATTGATATATGAGCATAGAGAGATATTTTGCATTTGCTATCTGGAAAGAAAATGAAATATCTTATTTATTTTGGAAAGAATTTTAGAAAAATTACAGTTTTCAAACAATCTCATATTTTTTGACGATTTCGGTAAAGGATTTAGGTTTTCACCGATATACTTGAAAAACGAAACTATTTTCGGAGTTATGAAAAAGCCGAGAACTTTAAATTCCGAGTACTTCTTTTGTTATTTGCTTTACAATATTATGAATTGCTGTTGGTTATTGGTGTTGGACCCGACCTATGTTCCAGCTCGTCATTACTTTCAACCTAATGTTAGGTTTGTTTCTTATTGAGTACATGGAGTCGGTTGTACTCATACTACACTTCTGCACCTTGCATACAGATGTTGGCTGTTGTTGTTGCTATGTTCAATGGGAGCTGGCTTTGAAGATGTACATGCGTCCCTGTTGTAGCTGCCTCTTATTCATGGTAGCCTTAGATTTATAAAAACGCATGTACTTTACAGACAAAAGATGCATTTACTTCATATTAGCTTTGTAAACTCTATTCTTAGAAGCCCATGATTTGTACTACTAGTCCTTGGAAAATGTATAAGATTCAGATAATTTTTTTTGTTTAATTGTTTCATTAAAGGTTATTGGAATTGGATAGTTATTAGTTGGCTTACCTAGCGGGTTGGGTTAGGTGCCATCAACGACTCGTGAAATTTGGGTCGTGACAGCAGTGCCTTTTGCAAATGCGATCACATGATCACTAAAGCGAAATTCACAAATGCGAGCCGGACCATGCATATATGAGATCTGCATGCGTGCACCAATAAGTGCGGAGCACCAGCAGTTCGAAAACCATCAAAATAATACCAAATAACACGAACTGATCCTCAAGACTCAAGATTTCAACTTGAAAACTTAATTTTCACACTCCTTCACATATTTGCCGAAATGCGATCGGGTCACCCCAGACCCCAACCAAACTTGCGTACAAGTCCAAAAAAATCGTACGAACCTATCAAAATCATCATAATACGGATCCGAGGTCGTTTACCAAAAATGTTGGCCGTAATCAACTCTAGCCTCATTTTAATTCAAAAATAATATTTTCTTCAAAATTTTACTTAAAAGCTTTTCGAAAAGAGACACGGACCACACGCAAGTCGAAAAATATCAAATGAAGTTATGAGTGGTCTCGGAATACGGAAATAAAGGCTAGTACTCAAAACGACCTATCAGGTTGTCACAATCACATATTCTAAGAGAAGACAATAAATTAGCATATGTTATGGTGAACTGTTGTCACGACCCCGATTTCCTACCCTCGGGAATCGTGATGGCGCCTACTCGTGAAAGCTAGGCAAGCCGAGTATTATAAATTCATGACCCTTCTTATTAAGCATGCTCTACAATTCAAAGTATTAAGTGATTAAACAGCGGAATAAATTAAATAACTAGAAATATGGAAGACGAAAAACTTAATAGTTCAACCAAACACTGCTACATAATCTGATGTACAATACCACCTAGAATTTGGTATCACAAGTCACGGACTATCTAAGTATACTACAAATAAGGCCTGAATGGAAATACACAAGTCTGTCTCTGAATAAGTAAAAACGGAAAGAGAAAAGATAGGAGGAGACGCCAAGGCCCGCGGACGTCCGCAGGACTACCTCGGATCGCCTGAATGGACTGAACACAGCACCCTCACTACGGTCCAAATGCTCCGGTATCAGCATCTGCACACAGTGCAGAGTGTAGTATCAGCACAACCGACCCCATGTGTTGGTAAGTGCCTAGCCTAACCTCGGCGAAGTAGTGAGGCTAGGACCAGACTATCAAATAAACCTGTACAGTTAAATCATATACAACGGAAATAAAAACAAATAATTACAGCTAAAGTTGGGCGGGGGAAACATGATGCGGGGAGTAACAGATAACAATAGAATAACAGTAGAGAAATGTAAGGAATGCCATAAATCAATTACCAGCAAAAGATAAGGAAATAAGAAAAAAGTACACATGTAATACCATTGCAGGCGTGCAACCCGACCCCATTTCATATAATACCGTTGCAGGCGTGCAACCTGCTCCCATTTCATATAGTACCATTGCAGGCGTGCAACCCGACCCCATTTCATATAATACCGTTGCAGGCGTGCAACCTGCTCCCATTTCATATAGTACCATTGCAGGCGTGCAACCCGCTCCCTTTTCATTTATCAACACCAATCATAAAAGATTCCCGGCAAGGGAACAATAATATAACAATAACATCCTGGCAAGTGAATAATAATATGACAACAACATCCCAACAAGGGAACAATAATATCACAACAACATCCCGACAAGGGAACAATAATATCACAACAACATCCCGACAAGGGAACAATAATGATAATCCTCATATGAAGCACAGATAAACCACAACGGAGTCACAACAATTGCAATACAAGACTCACGGGCATGCTTGACATCAACGTATAGTTACTCGTCACCATGCCTATACGTCGTACTCCACAATTAACACATAGCAAATAAGACACAACTCCTAATCTCTCAAGCTAAGGTTAGACCAAACACTTACCTCAAACTTCCACGGCCAACTCAAGCCTCAAACACCACTTTTCCTTTAGAATTTGCCTCCAAATTACTCGTATCTAGTCCAAATTGACTTAACAACATCAATAAATGCTAAATAATACAATCTCAATGCTAAATTATAGGTTTTCTATCATTCTTCCCAAATATCAAAAATCGATCCCGAGCCCGCTTGGTCAAAACAGGAGGTTCGAATCAAAATCCGATCACCTATTCACCCACGAGCCCAAATATATAATTAGTTTCGAAATCCGACCCCAAAACAAAGTCTAAATTCCAATTATTCAAAAAGCCCCAACTCCCCAAATCCCCATATATAAAGGAAAAAGGTGTGCACTGCTCAGTTTATCCAGGTATAAAGGGAAGAAGGATGACCACTATGTTCAAGTTCTTAGGGAGGAGAACGAGGGGCAATTTTTATCAATAACATTGTTTTTTATTTTGGAAGTACTCTCAAACGACACATGCTGATATTATTAATTACTTTTTAATGTGTGGTATAAGAATTCTAAATGCTCAGCCCATTGAAAGGGTATTTATACGTGAACTTAGCATGTGATATGGAACAAGTTATATACCATCGTGATGCTAGTATTAAAGCAAGCTCTAATTTTTTTTCAAATTGTAAGATTTTCTAGGGTCTTTTTTTTATTATTATTAATAACATTAGCCACTAGGTACATTACCTAGTGATATACAGGGGTGTATCTAGCTAGGGGGCTTTTATGGGGCACGTGAACACATGCTCCCCTCCCTAAATCATGTATAGTAATATTATATTTTTTTCGAAAATACTTAATTATATATGTGTGCACTCATGCTCAAAGTATTATATGATGTGATAGTTATTGGGTCTACCTCTCTAAATGGGGTTGCGAGGTCAAATCTTATATCAATCTTGTTGTTTTTTATTTTTTTTTTCCGAGAACTAGACGCCCACGGAAGACGAGCATGTCTGGTGTTACTTTTTGGGTATTAATTAGGTACTTTTTCTTTTATTTCTTTTTTTTCTTTTTTTGATCCCGATATTGAAATGGATAGTAGATATAGATTAAAGAAAAATAGTTTTTTTTTTTAATTTTAATTTTGAAGTTATAATTCAAAAGTGTAACGGGTGCGCAATAGTAAGAACTAAAGGTTGAATATGTAAAATCTATATACTGGATCCACTCCTTCTTAATAGTGCACCCATCCTGTCAAGATTCTGGATCTGTCTCTGTGGTATATTAACTAAAAACAATTTAAACGCTAAGAAAGCAACATAATGGACTTGAAGCTTAATCTGCGACAAAATTATTTTTTGACAAATTGCTAGTAAATAGTTCTGGTAAAAACCGAAATGAAGCAAAAATAAAAACATAAAAAGAAGCACTTTTTGCAGAGTTGCATCTCCAACTGTGTAGTATATAATCATATATTTCTTTTTAAAATAAAATTATGTATAATGGAGTCTTATTCAATTCTCACAACATATATATGTAAGCCTCACAACCGTGGAGCAACTAATAATTAAAATCTCTGGTTATTCTTTCATTCAACCTCTTTAATTACTTGGGGTGCTAACAAGTGAGATTATCCCCAGTCTCCACGCCTAGTTGTTGACAATACTCAGTATAATACTCAACCCTTCTGGCAACAGTCTGCGGGTTGCCGCCGTCACACNTGAGGGTTGCCTCCGTCACATTCAATCTGGCCATTAATGGCTCGAATGGTTGGGCCAAAACCTTGGCCAGAAGTAATGAGAGAATGGCAATTGTTCATCCAATACCACAGGGCAGTCTTGAAGGAAATAACAGCATCTCTAGCCACAATGTCAGGGTCATTTAAGCCATCGAATCCTATGGATTTTCCGGCAGGTCCATAGTTGAAGTTCCATGATAGTTGGATGGGTCCTCGACCGTAGTAGTTCTTGCCTGAGACACAAGGGTACTCTGTGTTGTCCTCATCACAATAGTCGCCTGAAGGACCATTTATCTCATTTATGAAGCACATGTCTGTATAAACCAAATCAGCAAACAAATATTGTTAAAAGATATAAGTAATAGTATATGTTAGATGATGTAAAGATTCTTTAAAACTATTAGTGAATTTTAATATATAATTGCAGGTTAATTATTATTTTTTATATAGTAATGATTATTAAAAAATTTATATGTAATTACTTAATAAATAACCTCATAGTATAAAAATATTCTTACATTATCAGTTCCATCATTGCATAAAATATAAACTCAACATATATGGGGACTATTGAGTAATTTTATAACAGGAAAGACTCTATATAAGTACACGTCCATTGTATAGATTTTAGTGGAATTTTAATTTAGTGAAAAGTGGATCCAAATTTAAAGTTGGTACATGTGGAACAATAAATACCACATTTATATTTTCATATTTAGACCTTATTTTTCTTTTTAGTCCATTTCAAAATAACTACCCCTATTTAAAGTTGATAATGAATTAACATAAACATCATATTTTACTCTTAATGACAGTCACACAAATGTCATAATATGATCGAGACTACAAGCTTCAGAAGTTTTATAAGTACAAAAATATTATGGTACGGTTAAAATTATATATTTCAAAGCCTTATTTTATTTCTTAAATTTTATTTATGACAAATAGATTCACATAAATTAAAATAGAAAGTAAGTATATTAAAAGGTTCTAAGAGAAAACCGCCAAAAAGAGAGCCAAAATAGAAGGAGCAAGCAATTAGTAAGAAAGCTTACGTCCGGTTTCATGGGTGACGTGAGCAAAAAAAGCAGCAATCTCACGCTTAGAATCATCGGTAGAACCCATAGTACCAAAATTGGGATAAGATTGAAGAGCTTCAAGGAAGTTAGCCCTTGTGTAAAACCCTTTTCCTTCACAGGTAGAAGCAGCTTGATCTGCTATTCCATTGAAGAATGCATTAGAAACAACATCAGCAACTGAACCTCCGTTGCTTGATAGTGAAGCACTAAAACAAGGACCTCCTTGACATCCTTGCCCGCAGAAATCATTTCCAGTACCACAAAAGCCCCATTTGCTGCAGCACAAGCTTTCTGCACATCCACAGTTTTGTGCCAAGATTGTTCTTGGAACAACAACTAGTACTATAGTTAATGCAATGAGGAAAATGAATTGTTTTCTTGAAGAGAAATTCATCTTTTCTGTAGTTTAGTTGTGTGTGGAGGGATGTCTAAGAATGCAGAGGCATTTATAGATGGGGAATTAATTTCTACTTTTTTTTTTCTTTCTTTTTTTTCCCGTGAAGAGCCACTATTGTTGAAGCGTTCAAAGTTAGAACAATATTTTCGTATGGGTTGACTTTGACCTTTTTGAGTCGTATGTACATTGTCAAAAGGCCATTTATTAGCAAGCTTCTTCCATCCTTCTATCTTTATGTCTTTCAGAAAGGGAATATTTTTCGCTTTTCAACTCATAATTGTCCTTCTAGTATATATTGACATTGACGAATCATGCATGAACCTATTTCACCAAGCACAAAATTTAAGGGGAAAAAATCTTTTTGATACTTATATGATCCTAAAGACATCGTACTTTTTGTTTGGTTATAAAACTTTTAAAATTTATAGTCTTAGATATATAATACTAGTTATGCGGCTATAAAGTAAATTATTTTAAAATTTTAAAATAAATTATTCTTTTTGAAACAAATAAATTAAAAAGAAAATATGATCACATAAATAGAACTGGTAGAGTACATACCTTTTTACCCTTTGAAATGGATAACAATTGAAATTGTACGCGGTTTTAAGGATATGTGGATAGATTCAATACAAGTGATCAATAACGTTAGATAAGCAAATTAAAGATAAAATAAATAATCAAATCAGTTGTGATGTTAAGTCCAAGCTCGGGTCTAAGCTTAACAATTGTTTTGCCCTCGATTCGGAGCCAAATATATATGAAGAGCTTTGACCAAAAATAATAACTTTTGAATAACTTAGAAGAAGAGAAAATAAGTTTATATTGCCTTGATATACGTGTTGCAACATCCCATTGAATAAAAATTACCCCTTTATTTAGTAGGTGAATTTCATTCCTAGTACAAATCTAAAAAAGGTAAAAATTTTCTTTTTCGTTAATCATTGATCTGCTGCCGATACGGACCGAGATCCACGCTGTGATATCTGGTTGGGCACGGATATCACGACCCTTTGTTAGTCGTGTGCAACCATTTGGTAGTGCTTCCCGAGGTCTTGGAGCTCGATCCAGATTCGGGGGATGTTGTCTCGATGACTCTGGTGGTAAGCGCTTTATTCGGGCCTTAGTATACAAGATGTTCGTAACCCCAATTTTACTCGTATACAATACCACCAGATTGGATGCATTGAAACATAAGTTTAATTAACTAATTGTACATTCTGATAGGTAATCATCACAATCTATATGCAAATTTTCCATGTAAATGTTACTCCCAAAACTTGTTTAATATATTACGGTGACCTCTAGTCACGTCGAAGGTCGAACAAGTAGTAGGCGCGATCCTGAAAAAGATAATGAAAATGTAGTTGATTATTAATGTCATATTTTTATCAAAATTAATCTTTTTGAATCTACCATCTTTTTATGATTTTATTAAACTTTCCTTTATAAATTTATTTGACAAAAGATCTATGAGTATAAAACAACTCTTTAAATAATATATGTAAATTTGAATAAGTAGAAAAAACTTGATTAAAAAAAAGTAAATGAAAAATAATAAAAAAATAAATAAATGACAGTGTAAAAATATGGAGTAGGTACTAGGTACACCTAAAATGTCATCAGCCTTGTTCTTTCTATACGGTCTTTTTCTTAGTATTTTATCTCTCAATATAAATTGTTGACACTTACGTATCGTACTCATGAGGTTGCCCTTTTTTCCTTTCTTTTTTTTTTTCCCTGTCCAATAAAACAAAGGTGAAAAACGAAATAGCAATACAAAAACAAAAAACTGAAAAAAATAGTAAAGAACAAACAATCTATATTTTTTTGGCGAAACTGTGACCCGTTTGGATGGTTTATTTTAAGTAACTTTTAAGCCAAAATAGCTTTTAATTCATAAGTTAAGAATTCTAACTTTTGGCGTCGGAAAAAACAAAAGTAGGCAATATTTAAGAAAAAAATTCAGATACCTAGCAGCAATAGGTATTTTACAAAACAGGCAGCTAAATAAATACATTCTTAGCAGCAAGCTATAAATATGGATCTAGAATCATGTTTTAAAAAAATCCAAAGCATTCAATTCCTAAAAATATCCAAAGCGTTCCAGTTTTCTCCTTAAGCAAATACACTTCCTAATTAGCGCCGAACAATAACGATGAGATTGGAGCGTTTTTTGTTGCTACTTGCTACGTGCATATATGATATTAATGGACTCTATTGCATTTTGAAAATATATCGTACATTTATTTTCGAATATATTTATGTATCTTTCTTGTTGTAAATTAACATGACCGTACAAGTTTTTGTCAAACAGTATCGAATTAAATGGTATAATTATATATACTATTGGTATAAAGTTCTATTTTTAATTATATGTCAATATAAATTTCAACACAGTATAATGATGGTATTAATAGTTTATAAATTACAATGGTATTTTTAGTATATAAATACACAGAGTATACTGAATCCTTCAGCCATTTTATGTGTGTGTATATATATATATATATATTGTGTTTTAATGTTATTAATAGCTGATAATTAAATATATACATGCAGATCGGTATGTAGACGTCTGTACTTATCTTCGAGAGGCTGCAGAACACTTAAGAAACCTCACATCCTTAAATTCTTATGGTGCGAACCTGTTGATTCTGGTAACTAAACTTGTGTTATTCTATTCTCTCACAGATGGTGAGGACACGCTCTACCGGTCAGGACGGACGACCAGTAGTAACACCAGTTGGGGCCGCGAGAGGCTGAGGTCGCGGTAGAGGCCATGAAAGGGGCAGGGGTGCAGCTCGCACAGCAGCTAGGGCAGCACCTGCAGATCCACCAGTTGCCCTAGTATAAGATCAGGGCCCAGTTGTGGATGCACTAGTGGGGCCAGCTCAGGCGCCAGTTGTGCTCTTCGTGATCCCAAGTCTTCAGGAGACCTTAGCTCAGATTCTGACCGTGTGCACTAGCCTTGCTCAAACGGTCTGTGTTTCTACTACAGCAGCCAATTCCCAGGCCGGGAGAAGTACTCAGACTCCTACCGCCCATACACCAGAGTAGATGGTGTGAGCACGTGATTTTTGTTTACACGACAATTACTCCAAAAGAAATCAAAATAATAACAAATGGCTTTGCCATACAATTTTTGGAATTTACGTGGCATTTTTTTTGTTAGCTATTTGTGGTTTTGTCCGTGTCTATTTAGTCTTATCCAACAAAAATACAAAATATAGGTCGCATGTGAGTTTAGGATGTCATTTTACTATTAGGAGTTAATCAACTACAATTTGGTTTTAAAAGGAAAATCATAAAAATACACGTCTTTATTCTATTTGTTGTCATTAAATGATTTTATTTTAATTAAATATTTAATGTGAGTGATATTTGTTGTTTGAATACTAATTAGTATTTGTGTGATTTCTATTTTTGATTTTACATTTTTTTTAGGAATTTCATTTAAATCAAAAATTAAAAGAAGAAAAATGGGTTTGAAATTGGATTTGGGCCGTTCCAATTGGACCAACTCGAGCCCAAGACATGTGCCTTGCCCGGTCCAGATCAGCTGACCTCAGGGGCGTCCAGACGATGTCGTTTTGATCTGGCTTGATCTGGGCCGTTGATCTCAGAATGATTAACGGCCAAGATCACAAACCCTAACCCATCTCAGCCAACCCAACCCGTTCGACCCCGGACCAACCCAACCCCCTTTAGTTGAAACGACCCCGTTTTATATAGTTAAGGTAATCCAAATTGTTGATCTCATCAGATCCAACGGCTTGAACTCACTCACCTACCCCGTATATAAGCCCGTCCCTTTACCCCACGCCCCCAAGCCAGACCCCCCCTCCCTTGAGTCATCTCCTTCACCAGACCC